CTGCTTCGAAGGTATGGGATACATTCGTCTCCTTCATATTGATTTTTGAAATTCTGCCTTCTCCGTGGCACAATTAGTAAGATGAACCTCAACTCAGTTTCAGCAATATGACATTATAGAATTTGCTACTTGTCAAAGAATGTTCTTAAAACCTTCATTCTTAGCCTTATTTAAATATTTAACTCAGCCAAGAACTGCAGATACTTTATACACAAGGGCCTGCTGTAAAATGATTGTAAGCATGGAAAGACAAAAATACACCTCAAATAAATTGTTGATATGTATTGTTTGTCAGTCTTTGATCTAAGAGTGGCAAAAGTTTCTAATATTGTGCTTGATTTTGTCCAGACACTCTTCATCCAAGTACCTCATATACAGTTTGAAGATTATTAACTTCAAAGACTTTGATACGTTGTAAAAACACAGTGGGACTAATATTTTAAATAATTTGATTATGCTTTTACACATTGGATGGAAACAAATCAGAAATCCCCTTTCAGGTCTGGTGTTAATTAAGATAAGTAAATTTGACAAAAAAAGGACAATGGAAATAATCCAATGGGGCATTATAAAAATCTAATTAAGGCTTTGAGAACAAAGACCACAGATTTATGCTCAGTTTCCTATAATAGCAATATACTTATCTGTATATTTTCTTTCTTCTGTACTGTAAAATGAAGCAATCTATCAGAAAAAAATATTTTATGTGAATCTCACAAATCACTCATTTACATTATAAAATGTATATAACACATTTTAATCATTTTAAAATGGTTATCTCATACTGTTTAAATGTTCTTTGATATATTTCTTATCCTCAAAGAGAATAGGGCATTGAAATAAGCCAAACTCAAAATTAGTTTGTAAAGTATGCAAAGCCAAATATAGAGGTATACATAGATTCTACCTAATCATGTCACCCTTTCAAAGAAAGCCCAAAGATGATGGCATTAGTGGAACATGGATGAAACACATCATCACTGGGAACATCCTTCCTAGTTTGCTTTTAATCACAACTGACTGGGTTTACACAGTGTATTAAACTGTAAACTGTATTTACAAAACACAATGGCTAAATTTCTACAATACACCAAAGGTAAAAAAAATCACATTATATTCCAGCATGACATGTTTAATTTAATGACAACTGTAGATCCCCAAGCTGAGAAACAAACTTGCATATCCCAGTATATGTGAAATAACTCTCATTCTAAGGTCACAGCTATTTGGGACCTCTGAAAAGGCTTCATAGAAAGACAATGGAAGAAATGGAAGATGATTCCATATGAGAAAAGTGTAGGGTGATAATTTTCCATGCAACAAGTTGCACTGCATTTGCACCTAGTCAAAAGCACTGAACATGTAATCAAGTTTCCCCTTCCAAATGTTTGTGCCTTACTCTCTATAAAATAAGTTGGCTCTGAAGACTGCAGCTGAGTAAAATTCACAAAGAAAAGAAACAGTGTGAAGTGTGGGAGGGAAAGGGAGAAAAAGAAAAGAGGGAAAAGGAAAATGTAGGTGGGGAAGAGAGTGTCTACCACCTGAGCATTTTAATGGGTATGTGATGAGAGGGAGGCTGTTATATAAGGTTTGCAGCACCCGTGGTTTATGTAACAACAGAGGAAGAGACAGCTTTGCAGATTTAGGAGGATAAATGGTGAGAGAAGCACCTAAGAAATTCTCTACAACTTCACAGGCACTTTATGATTACAGACAAGGCATACATTGAGTTGAGCAATAAGGAGGTTGCCCTAGGCATCATCTCAGGATTATATCCAGAATGTGAACAAAGAAACTTCTTTGCAGCATAAACAGCTTATATTGCTATACATAACCCCAGGCAGCTCATGTACAGCAGACATTAAAATGCAGGACTTCCAGTAAAAGTATATAATACATTCAGTTGTGACTTGAACCAAGTTTTTTGCTTTAGAGTAATATTAGCAACTTGGATGCATAAACATAAGGCATCCATAAACTCCTATGACCTACATCCTTCCCCAAAACCTTAGTAAAAAAACCCCACACCTAATGACTGAAATTTCATAAGAACCTATGGGAGGATGACTAAAGTGCCATAAAATTAGTGATCTCATGAGCAATTTTGGAAGGAGACTCCAAGCCGTTTTGCAACAATGAGATCACAGAAGAGAAATTAGAACTGGAAATAGTTGCTGGCCGCAGATGTCAACAAAGATGTTCACTAAGGGATCAAGAGAGAAATGGCAAAAGTAGTATTGCACCAAACTGCACTCCTTCTGTAAGATGCTGTGATATGGCGAGCCAATATAAAAGGCACCAAAGCTGACATTATGATAATGAGACACTGCTTTGATGAAATCACTGTATCCCAAAGAACTGTGGGTAGCAGGTCATGTCCAAATTTGATTTGTGTTGGAAAAAAGCTAACTAGAGTTGGATCTCCTTAGAACTTGATAGGAGACTGCCAGGAAATCCTGAAGCTAAAAGCTAGGCAGGGAAGTAAAACAAAACGAAACAAAACAAAACACACACACCCAGAAGGAAACAGCGTTTCCATTTTGCTATCAGGAAAACTTTGTGAACAAGTTCAGGAGCCACAAGGACTTGATTTATGAAATTATCTACCATTTTATATATCTCACAGGATGGTGCCTCTCCCACTGAAAATTAAAGGCTGATCTCATTTTTATACTACAAACCAGCACACACATATATTTTACCCTTGGGTCACAGAACTTCTAAATGTCTTTTTAGCTCTACCTGGGAATCTCATTCATTGCCTTCTGAATTCTCAATCCTGCCCAATCCTTCCCATTTCTAAATTGAAGGCACTGGGATCAGGCTGGGCAATGGGGAAGTCACTTAGGATGATTAACATTACTGCTTATATATTGGCAAAGTGGGAGCGGGAGATTGACACCCTGTTGCTCCCAGATAATTCTGTCATTTTTCAAAGAGATGTCTAACAATCAATGAATTAGCATTTTGTACAACTTGATATATTTAAAACATATGTTTTGTGCTTTGGAACTGTAGTGATCCAAACAGATTAAAATAAATCAACAGCGGAAACTAAAAAGCGGTTAATTCACAAAATATTGTTGTAGAATACCCCCTAGCATTACAATGTATGCTTTCTATCCAGATTCCTATTTTTGCTGGAGGTTAAGAACGGAAAAGTTTAAAATCTATGTATTTATTTAATCATATTTGTATAGCAGCCTGTCTCACAGGAAATGGCTCATAGAGTTGGACATTGTGATTGAGATCATCAAGTCCATCCAGCCATTTGCAAAACCATATTCTGCAAAGTGCTCTTATCATTAGTACTTGATTTCTGATCTTTAATCAGACTCTGCTTTCTTGTAAATGTAAATCCATTATTCAGTATCCTGCACTGTGGAACAATAAAGAACAGGTCTTGACCTTCTGTGTGACATCCTTTCAAGAGTGCTATCATGTTCCTTCTTGTTCTTGTCTTCCCTAGGCTAAATGTACTTAACACCTTCAATTTCTCTTCATAGAACTCAACCGCTAAGTCTACCAAGCACTTCTGAAAGGATGGGGCCCATAACTTCACACAGTATTCAAAGGGGGTTCTAAGCAAAACAGGCTGAAGAAGAATAATTTCTCCTGAGGGTTTGGAAATTGCATTTGCATTTGTTACAGTCACATCACATTGCTAGCCCATATTCCGTTTGCAATCAAGTAATTTCAAAGGTGCTTTTTTTTTTTTTCAAGAGGCAACTGGACTTTCTGATTTTTTTCTTTAAAGACATTTTGCTTGTCATCCAAAAAGCTTCTTCAGAAGAACTGAAGAATCTTCTTGGATGAGAAGCGAAACACCTTCAAAGAAAAAACAGAAAGTCCAGTTGCCTCTTAAGAAAAAAAGCACCTTTGGGACAACCATGACCTGGATGACTGAGAATCTCTGTAGAGATTTAGCAATCAAAGAATGTTTCAATATTTTTTTTTGAAAGTGTTATTACCAAGCCCCTAATCCAGTGGTTCTCAGCCTGTGGTCTGCAGACTGCTGGTGGGGGGCATGATGTTATCACAGGAGGTCCACGAAGGCTTGAAGAAATATTATGATTTAAATCTTGAGTTAAGTCTTGGGGGATCCGTAACCACAAAAGGTATTTAAATAGGGTCCATGGTAAAGAAGAGATTGAGAACCACTGCCCTAATCTATTACTTTCAGTCTTGTGAGGTAATTCAGACAAGAAACACATCCAGAAGTACTAGCTCTAACTTTATTGTAAGATTAAATGAACAGAATAATGCATGTCTGAAAGTACTTTTCTCCCTCTTTATTTTTACAGTCCAAGAAACCAGGGAAGATCCCTAGTTTTAATTCTGGTTAGTTTGTTAGGGTTTAACACACTCCATTTAATTCAAGAAAATGGGTTTTTCAATTATCAATTTAAACATTTGGATAATACCTCCCTATTGAAGTTTACTTCTTGAATAAATCCTTTTTTTTTTTTAGCTTGTCAGAATCATTTAAAGAAACAGGCTTTTTCTTGATTATAGCAGACATTTTATGAATGGGCAAGTCCTTCTTCCACTGTAGCCATTTTTATTCACACCCTATTCTCTGCATATTGCCAATTGATGCAAAAATGTTGGAGACCCCGAAGGAAAAGGCATGTGATCCTCAAAACTAACCACACTGTGTCTCATATCCTTAGATCTACTATATGCAGACTGAAATTAGATGGCTGATCACTAGATGGTAGCAAAGAATCTGAATTTTGTATATTCCTTTGGTACATCTAGTAATTGCTGGGGTTCTTCAAGATCAGATCTTGTAGATATTCAAGACTGTTTGTTTGTTTGTTTATCATATTCGTTATAGTCGCCCATTTCATAAGAGAGAGAGACTTGCTTGTATACTGAAGGAGCACAGTTGCCAAAACGGAATACAGAGTGGCTTGTTTACAGATCTTTAATTAGTGGGAGAATGCAAAAGTGCCACAATTCATAACCTTTCTCCTATTCAGAAATTCCTTCCTTACCTCATCAAATGAAGCTTCATTCTCACAGTTCTCAAGCACTCGAGTGTAGAATGAGAGACCTGCAAAATCCAAAGAGAAAACAATTTTTTATTTTAATAAAATGCTGCATAAATACAAAGCTGATTGTAAGAGTAAAAGAAGGACTAAAAGCACTGTGTCATATTTTGTATCCATGTAGATAAGATAGAATTAATTTATCAGGTGGATATGTTTTTCATGCAATTAATTATCTGCATAGAAGCCAATGCAACAGTAGGAACTGTCAAGTCGCAGATTTGTTCTGAGTCAGGGGAAAAGCTGAAATTCTCCATTATCTGTAGCTTCTATTATTCGGATGGCAAACAGGAGATCTCACACCAGCCATAAAGCCTAATAGTCACTGGTTACATTTACATAATATATTTTATATGGTTACTGAATAACATTACCCTGTTGATGTATTTGCATGATATATTTACTGTAAAATGAAAGAAACACATGGACTATTTTTTGTCTGACCTGCTGGGATACATAAAGGGAAGTAAGATTATCCCTAACCAAGCGTAGCGTGTTGTCTGCATGCAGCAGCTAGGTTTTCAACTGATCTCATTAAACATTAAGATTGTCTTTCTCTTCTTCAATGTACCTAACCTCATTGTAACATCCTGGATTTTATGATGAAATGATTTGTTTTGTCACTTTAAAGCCTGTCAAGTCTCATTACTTAATTCTGGAGCAGAGTTGTAAGCCTAAAATTATACACAAAATCTCTTCAAATATAGATGATTTCATAATCCTTGATCATTTTATTTTTTCACTTACTAAATTTATATTCTACTACCTTTCCTCCAACAGCTCAAGGTGGATGCTTGCTTTATTTAGATTTTCCAAGACAACATTGGTCAGATAGACATCCTCTGAAGGATTCTTATATCAGGGCAAACAACGTTGAGCTACATGGACAGTTCCCTGTATCTGAATGTCCTCTAGATGTTTGATATAGTGCCCATAACCCTCAGTAGCCTAGGACATGGGTTAGTGTTTGCCACTTCTGGAGGGCCACTAAGGAAGGCTAAAGAAATTTTCTTGAGGAGCCATTCACAAAATGGAACCATAGAATCATAGCACTGGAAGGGAGTTTAGAAGTCTTCTAGGCCAACCTCCTTATGTCATCCCAGACAAATGGCATCCAATCTTTTCTTGAAAACTTCTAGTAATGGAGCACCCACAACTCCAGGAGGCAAGCAATTCCACTGATTAATCGATCTCACTATCAGGAAATTCCTCCTTATTTCCAGGTTGAATCTCCCCCTGACCCATTGCTTCTTGTCCTGCTTTGGAGAATAAATCGACCCCCTCTTCTCTCTGACCAGTCTTCAAGTATTGGAAGACTGCTGTCAGGTTTCCCCTAAGCCTTCCTTGTGGGTCTTTCCCCCCAAATTCCTCATACGGAAGTATTTATTATTCAAGCTCGTTGAGACTCCTCACTTTATTAACAGTAATATAAAGAGTCAACCTCTTTCAGTCCATTAACTATATCAGACCAGACTTATGGGTGGCATTTGGACGTTTCTGTAAGACTTGTGGATACTAATTTTCCCATCAGTTGGAATTCTTTTGTATCCCTTTCATCTCCAGCCTATTTGATTGAATCATTTGCTGGAGGAAAAGAAAACATTAAACAAAGGAGCCTAAATGTACAATGGTGAGAACCTAAAAAAACCTTGACCCATTCCTTATGAATGGAATAAAACTATCAAAGAAATTGTTCTGTTGTGGAACAAAGATGGACTGGAGACTGGAGTTGAAATCAGCTCTTTATTAAATGTCAGTAACTTCAACTAAACTCGAGCTGCGGCAGCCTCTTTTATAGCGGCTGCTCGCAGCTCGCGGCCAATGGCATTGTTTTAAACCTCCCGCCGTTTGGCGGACCAATCGCAGCAGTTGTTTAACCACCAATCGTTTGGCGGCAGTAGTCATCCAATCAGAACGTAGTATTACGAGTATGCAAATGTCTATATACAACAGAAATTGTTAATCCTGGAATGACACATACAAGGGAAGATGATAACATGGAATTTACTTTTCACCCACCCTTTTCTTTGATCTCTACTTTTTCAGTTTAGCAGAAAAGGAAAACGTTATTAAAATGCTAAAATACTGTATATATTCTCAATTCCCAATTAACCTCCCCTGAAAGCTAGCAGGACTTGCCTATTATTAAACCTGCCTCCTTCTAGAAGTAAAATATGCTTATTTTCAATTTTATTGTGTTGTGTAACATAGTGTGGCAGAAATTGTTGTTGTTAATTACTTTTTCTCTCAGTTTAAAATTCAAATATAGCTAGAGAGATTATAAAATAGGAAACCCTGATAATTGCATCATAGGACTGCAGTCGCAGTTTCGCTTATAATAGGATTTGGGTAATTAAAAAAGGAAATTTATTACTTAACTAGGTACAGGCAATCATCTCCCCATTTACACATATAGATCCACTTTCTGGGAGCATCTGTGCTGGTTGAAGCAAAGAAACCTAATCCCAGTTAGGTTTGCAGTCATTTCTCTATAAAGCAAACTGGTATTGTTGTATGTGTTATCAGTAATATGTTCTGATCAAAGCTTTCCAAGAGCATGAAGCAGACTCCTTGTTCCAATAAAGCCCATTTTATTTAGGTTAAAGGGAATTCCTCTCCAGCAAAGTCCTGGCAAATGGTCTTTCATGAGATTTCACAGCTACAGACCTTTATCAGGCTTGGAGAGTTTCCAGGCCGATATCTTCCAAACACCACGCTGTAGCAGCAATTACTTGGCAAGAAGTCAGGAACAGATCTTCACCCTAATGAATTGAACTAATTGTCTCCTGCAAACACCACTCCCCTTTTGCTCCTCTTTATTCCCTATGGGAGGGCCATTCACTGTCCACCTGAGCCTTTACTCCTGAGGCAACCCTTGTTCCTTAGCTGTTCCCTTCTCCTGGCAGCTCTGTGCATGCACACACTGGGAACAGGCTCCAGCTGTTCTTCTACCCCACTGATCTCTGACTCTGAAGGCAGCTGAGAACTGTCAAATGGCTCTGGTGCCATCTCTGCTTTCTCTGCACTCATCAGAGCCTTCTCCAGACTCCAGGATTGGCCCATGTTCTTCCCCAACCTCCTCACTGTCCGAGTCTGCTGCCAGCTCCACTGGTCGCTGGCAGGCCACAACATGATAGTAATACCAAACAAATCTCAATCATTTGCAAGCAATATGGATAGCCCTCAACTTATAACCACTTGTTTCCAAGTTACAAGAGCACTGCAAAAATGACTTATGAGCCCCGGTGGCACAGTGATTAGAGTGCAGTACTGCAGGCTACTTCTGCTGCCTGCTAGCTGCCTGCAATTTGGTGGTTCAAATCTCACCAGGCTCAAAGTTGACTCAGCCTTCCTTCCTTCCTTCCTTCCTTCCTAGGTGGGTAAAATGAGCACCCAAATTGTTGGGGGCAATATGCTGGCTCTGTAACCTGCTTAGAGAGGGCTGTAAAGCACTGTGAAGCGGTATATAAGTCTAAGTGCTATTGGTATTGCTATTATAATAGATCCTTACACTTATGACTCTTGCTGCATCCCCATGGTCACATGATCAAAATTCAGGTGCTTGGCAACCAGCGTGCATTTACAATGGTTGCAGCATCCTGGTGTCACATGATTAATCACTAGTTGACAAGTAAAATCAATAGAGGAAGATGGATTTGCTTAATGGCTGCATAATCTACTTAAGAACTGCAGTGATTCACTTAACAATCATGGCCAAAAGGTTGAGATTTACATTCTTAGTAATTTTGGAGTGAGAAAGGAGGAGTTATAAGGGCCTCTTTAGAAACTGGATTGATGAAACAACCAAGACATCGTTATCATATCAGTGAGAAGGAACCAGTTATCTCCCCATTTCTTGTCCTATTCTTAAAGTATCCCTCTTTGAAATTCCTTTGGGGATGTTTCAATAATTTTTTTTATTATTATTACTCCATTCCTCCTGCTTGAAGATCACTTCAACATGTGTCTTCTGAATGTGCAGTTGACTGCCTTCTGATCCCTACCTCCAGGGAGAAATCCAGCATTGTTTCACCAGAAGGACAAAGGTGCCAGGTTCTCCAGTGACATGGAAATCTAGGGCTCTCTTTGAATCCCACATTTAATCCACCCTCATCCCAATAATTTCCTCCTGTATATTACCTTGGTAAATGGACAAAAGCTTTGGAATGCTTGAAGGAAGCTGTGTGGGTTTCCCTCCTCTATGAGTCTATCCCTGCTTTTTAACCAGTGCCCCAGGAGAAAGGAGAAAGTCTAGCACAGTCAGGAGATATCCCAGCCCTGAATTGATATGGAATATTAATTACACATGAAAAAGAAGATCAAAGACTTCATTGACTTGGGTTGATTTACGTAGTTTTAACACTATTGAAAGAAACCTCTATTAAACAGCAAAACAAAACACACACCAGCAACTCTGGCTACCGTATTTCCAGACAACTCCTTGCAATATGTAATATTTAAAGTGCATTGTGTGGTTTCAATCAGGAGTGCCATGTTTTGGTCATCAACCTATCTTTGAGCTTCCTTTTGCCTGTTTGGAATGATTTGTTTAGCTAAAAAGACCTGGAAAAGGATTTTCTCAACGACAGCAGCAAGGAAAACAGCCATCATCTATCACTGATTCTCCTTTCCTTGTCCCCCACTGAAAACCACCTTGAGTTATACTGTAGATAAAATGGTGGGACAAAAATATAATAATCACAACTTGTATTGCTAGCGCATGCAAACGTGTTTTTCAGATTTGTACACATGCTTATAAAAAAGAAATTTACACAGCAACAGTCTGAGGCATGAAACTACTGGCAACCTTCTAGAGAGAATTTGGAATCATTGGGAAGAATCCCTTTTCATATTATTTTCCCTTAAGTGATCTCCGAAACTCCACAAGCAACATTTTTCAATGGTAGAAACAAAGAAAGTGTTATAATAGGAATAATCAACTAGGAATATTTTGAACATATTGTTAAAAGAAAAAAATGTAAGCACAAAGATATGAGGCACTTAT